TAATCCCAGCACTGGGGAGGCAGAGGCAGGCGGATCTCTGAGTTCAAGGCCAGCCTGGTCTACACATAGTGAGTCAGGACAGCTGGGGCTACAGGGAGACCCTGTCTCAAAATACATATATATATATATATTGGATGAAGTATAAATATTCCTATGAAAATAAGGGGAAAATCAATCATTGAGAGATCTGTATATTTTACTATATAAATGAGTCTGGTGAAAGCACACTTCAGTTGCTTTTGCTGCTTCATAGTCACTCCTGTCCAGACCTCCACTGCCCTTGGGTTTTCCCTTTCTTCACGTGCCACAAAGCTATAGAGTTCCCCAGCTAGATATAGCTGCCATGTTGACTGCCTGAAACCAGCATCCCTAGCTCCTTTTTTTGTTGTTTTCTTTGTTCATTCGTTCCTTTGTTTTGAGACAGGATTTCCCTGTAGCCTAGCTGGCCTGGAACTTGCTGTGTAGACCAGCCTGGCTTCAAACTCAGAGACCCCTGCCTCTGCCTCCCTTGTCATGGGATTAAAGGCGTGCACCACCACGCCTGGCTCTCTAGCTCCTTTTTAATGCCTAGGCCAGAGATGCTTTAACTTTGATGTACATAAAAGTCACTCGAATTTTTATTTTTGTAATATTTATTTGTATTTATGTGTATGTGTGAATGTATGCCACATGTGTACCTGTACCCATGAAAGCAAGAAGGCGCTGGATCCCCTAGAGCTGAAGTTATAGGTTTTAAGCTCCCTAACATGGGTGCTATGAACCAAAATTGGGTCCTCTGGCAGAGCGGGAAGTGCTCTGAATGACAAGCCATTTCTCCAGCTCCAGTCACTAGAAATTTTTTGAGCTACAAATCCTAGGTCCCTCCCCAGAGATGGCTTCCCCAGGTCTAAGGTACACTTCAGCACTTGGGCCAGCCCATTTGCTTGGTGGATGTTTGCTTTTCCCTGTGTGAGAACTGCACTCCTGCCTAAGTTCCCATTTCCCCAGACAGCTACATTCCAGACCTGCCTTCCTAAGGTTACATCTGGTTTCTGTGGTTGTGGCTATTGGGAAAAATCTTCAGTCACACACTTTTCCAAAAGTCAGCTTGTGGGCTGCAGCTTGTAGCTCGGTGGTACAGCATTTGCCTAGCATGTGTGAAGCCTGGGTTTGATTCCCCCAAATATCTCCTCCTCCTCTTCCTCTCTCTGGTTCTCTCCCTTCTCCTCTCTGTCTCTGTCTCGCACACACACATTGCAAAAGAAAGTTTGATTTTTTTATCCATTGGCTAATGGGACTTAAAGCCCTCTTGATGGGAGGGAATTCATGGATGGCATTATAAACTCAGCTAGATACACATGGCAGGAGAGAACATAGATCTTGGAGAAAACCCTATCTCTTTCATATCTCAAGACAAAAGAATCTTCTTACTCTATGCCAACTATTGATACTTTTATTTACAGACAAGCATGCCGTACGGCATTCATCAAAGAAGCTTCTTTTTGCAACAGATGGAGGCTACTGCAGAGTTGCACATCTGGTCAGGCACAGAGAACATATGTCTGGGAGATGCCCAGTACTAGGTGACACATCTTCAGTTGAATCTCTATAACCAAGGCTCATGGAACACAGCAGAATAAGGGGTAGAGAGAGGGCTAATGCCCCCTCCACTCTCACCAGTGAAGCTTCCTTGTACAGTGGAATGCGATGCACACAGAAGGCCACAACTGGCCAAGTTTTGGAGAATAAGACACTGTAGAGTGTAGGATGGGATTTCTATATGGAACCTCACCCATCCATGGCTCAGGGACCATTGTGGAAAAGGAGGCAGGAAGATTATAAGAGCCAGGGCTGGTTCGTGAACACAGGGAGGTGGAGGCTTCCAGTCCACTGGAGGCTTGCTCATGTGAACCTGTGGCAGTGGTGGTGTTGAGCATGGGAACCATGTGAGCTCAATTAAGCAAGGGCCCAAAGGGGAGGTGAGAAATAGGTGGCAGGCTGGCACTAGACTGAGAACTATTTGAGACTGCTGCTGGGTGAGAGTGAGTATGACTTACATACGACCGCTGGATGAGCTTACTAGACTCCAGTGGATGCATTTACACTCAAGGTCATTTGGGTACAAACACCTGAATGTATAGGACTTAGCATGTATGGCAGAGTGCATGGGGTTCAGTGGGGTATGGGTGAGGGGGTCTGGATTTAATTGGAAAATATATGAAATTATAAAAGCTCAACAATTAAAAAAATCCACATGAAGCAGGGAGGGAGTATGGGGGTGCTTGAGGGGAGTGGAAGGGAGGAGTTGGAGATTCCTGGGAGAAGTGGGAAGGGAGATGGGGTGCATATGATCAAGATGCATTTTGTTTACATGTATAAACTTGTCAAAAAATAGATTTTTTAAAATGAAGATCAGCATGGTAGTTCGTAATCCAAATTACTTGGAAGGTTGAGTTAGGAGGATTGCTCTGATCCACCTGCCTCTGCCTCCCAAGTTCTGTGACTAAAGGTGTGCACCACCACACCCAGCCTCTCCTTTATAAATTACATTTATTTGTGTGTGTATGTGTGCATGCATGTTATACACATGCCACTGGAGGCCAGAGGACAGCCTGCAGGAGTTGTTTCTCTCCCACTATGTAGATGCTGGGCATCAAACTCAGGTCATCAGGTTTCGAGGCAAGCACCCCTACCCACTGAACTATTTTGCTTAGTTCCTCTCTGTTAGTCCCCTGCACTGACCTCAATCCAGGTCTCCTCAGCCCCCACTCAAGGCTTGCCTCATTGGTCTCAGGCCCCACCCAAGGCCTGCCTCATTGGTCTCAGGCCCCACCCAAGGCCTGCCTCATTGGTTTCCTCATGCCAAGTTCAGCCCTTCCAGCCCCTGGTACTTTGTTCCCTCAGTCATATCATCATTCATCTCAGAAGTATTTTATTGAATCCCTCCTGTGATTCTCACTCAAAATCTTCTGACACTCTCCCACCTCCCCTTAGAAGTGTCTGAATATGTGAAGGAGCAGTTAGTTGTCATGGTGACTGGCCAGGAGGCCCAACTGTGAGCAGACACAGGGTGGTCTGGTTGGGGGCACAGCAGGTAATGCCAATGTGGTTTGAGGATTAACAGAGGGAAGGATACTTTTGTTCTGAGAGAGAGGGGAGGCTTCTGCAGGAAGCAACTTTGGGGCCTTGAAGGATAAATTGGAGTTTCAAACACTGGGGGACAGGAAGTCCCAGCAGAGGAAAGCAGGTGTGCAAAGGCAGGGATGCTTTGGGAGTAGGAGGTTGCTCTAAAGAAGGCATTCTTGGATAGCTCAGGAAAGGAGGTGCTAAAGGCAGTAGAGGGAGGTTGACAGTGGGAGGTTGTGGTGGACAGGCAGGGTTTTCCCTCCCTCCTCCAGCCCTAGAAATTCCGCAGAATGTTGTTGATGATGTCATTTTTGGCATTTTCATAAATGTTCTTAATTGCGGGTGGTAGCTCAGTGGTGTCGTCCTCCTTGGGGATATCTGCCACAGGGTAATCAGCAAAACTGCTCACCTGGGTGACCTGCAGAACAGATGCTGGACAGTCAGTTGCCACCATCACTGTTGACAGATCCCTTTCTTGCCCTGCCTGTGGCCAGTCTCTCAAGGAGGGGATGAGATGACAGGCATGAGTTGCAAAAGCATGATGGGACATGGAGGCCTGTCCTCTATCCCCTGGAGCCCAGAGGGCCTGAGCAGACCTGGATTAGGGGGAGGTGGGTTTCCAAGGACAGTCATGAGAACAGAGCACAGAATCAGTTTTCCAGAGCACCAAAGTCACACACGCACACCCCCCAACTCCCACAGCCTCTCCTATCAATTGGAAAGCCTATCCCATACTGGCAGGCTTCATGCCACACCCCTCTGGACAACTTGCTGAGAAGGCCTTGATCAGCTCTGTTTTCCAGATGAAGAACCCGAAGCGGCACAAGCTAGTCGATAGTGAGGCCCAATGCAGTGTCTCCCAGATCCCAGGAGAGAACCTCATGGAAGGAAACAGTCTATTCATGGGATTCAAGCTTCTGAGGGGAAGAGGTACCCCAAGACAGGGTGGACCTCAGCAGGTGCCCAGCTGCTCACCTCTCTCCTGCAGTCCCTGTCACAGCTCAATGTCAGGGAGCGGGTAAACCTCCGCCTGAAGAATTCACCAGTGCAGTTTCGCTCCTCCTGTGGGTGGGCAGGAAGAGGGGTTTGGCCACCTTTCCCCAGAGAGGCAAGGGCTGCCAAGGTCAAGTCAGAGGTGCACACCAGAGCCAGGAAAGAGAGCCAGTCTCCAGAAGGCTCCGGGCCGAGGAGATGTACACTCATGAACATAAAGGACAGGATGCCCTCTAAATCACTACAGGAAAACTCATGTGTCCATGAGTTACCATGCCAGGGAAAAGCATGCTTGTTGAAAGTTGTGCATGAAGAAGATACATCAGCACCTAGTTAGATGATACCTATCCCTGGACCATGAGGTCATGAATCAGAAAATAATGTATGTCATTTTTAAAATGTGAGAAGCAGGCCAGGCTTGGTGGTGCACACCTTTAATCCCAGCACTCGGGAGGCAGAGACAGGCAGATCTCTGTGAGTTCAAGGCCATCTTGGTCTACATAGTGAGTTCCAGGACAGCTGGGGCTACAGGGAGACCCTGCCTGCCTCTGCCTCTGCCTCCCGAGTACTGGGATTAAAGGTGTGTGCCACTACGTCCAGCAAGTTTTTTTTTTTTTTTGGTCTTTTTGAGACAGGGTCTCCCAATAAGTATCCTTATGGTAAGGATTTACAATAATTTATAATAAGAAAAAGTAGTTAGAGCAGGGCATGGTGACATACACGTTTAACCCAGCCCTTGGGAGGTAGAGGCAGTGAGATTGAAGTCAGTCTAGTCTACAGAGTTCCAGGCCAACTGGAGCTACAGGGAGACCCTGTCTCAACCCCGCCCCCGAAACAAGGAAAATCTAACTTTGTTTTTTCTAAAAGTTTTTTAAAATTATGTCTATTTTATGTGTATGAGTTATTGCCTACAAGTATGTGAGTACACCTGTGTCATGCATTACCCACAGAGGCCAGAAGAGGGCATCAGATCCCCTGGAACTGGAGTTAACAGATCTTTGTTAGTTCCCATGTGGGTGCTGGGAATCAAACCCAGGTCTTCTGCAAGAGTAGCCAGTGCTCTTAACCACTGAGCCATCTCTCCAGTCCTCCTGTTTCTTTCTTTTTTTCTTTTTCTTTCTTTTTTTTTTTTTTTTGTTTTGTTTTTTGAGACAGGGTTTCCCTGTAGCCCCAGCTGGCCTGGAACTTGCTATGTAGAACAAGTTGCCCTTGACCTCACAGTGCTCCACCTGCCTCTGCTTCCCTAGTGCTGGGATTAAAGGCATGCACCACCATGCCCAGCTCCCCCTGATTTTTCTAAGAGTTTAAAATTACATTTGGGGGTCTGGAGAGTTGGCTCAGTGGTTGAGAACACTGGTTGTTCTTGCTGAGGACCCGGGTTCAAATCCCAGCACCCACATGGCAGCTAACAACTGTCCGTAACTCCAGTCCCAGGGGATTCAACAACCTCTTCTGACCTCCTCGGGCATTGCACAACACAGGTACACTTACCTACATGCAGGCAATACACACATACACATAAAAATAATAAAATTTAAAAAATAAATAAAATTACATTTAGTGTGTGTGTGTGTGTGTGTGTGTGTGTGTGTGTGTGTGTGTCACAGCTCACATATTGAAGTCAGATGACAATTTGTGGGAATTGGCTCTCTCCACCTCGTGGGTTCCAAGCTTTGGCTGTTAGGGCCTTCACCAGCTGAGCCGTCTCACTGGCCCAAAAAATCTGATTATGAGAACGACTTCCAGAATCAAACCTCTGGTGAAATGGCCAGGTGAGATGGATGGGGCAGACCCACAGCCCCTAAAGGTCAAGAGAGGGAATCATTTGTATTGGTCCACAGAGGGTTCTGGGAACTGAAAAAGAAGACTCACCCCGTCCTCCTTGAAGGCGCAGTCTTGAGGCTGTCTTTCTGGTGTGGAAGTGCATACTGTTTCTTTAATCCTGAAGTTGAGTGGGATCTTGAAGTTGGAGGTCTAAAGAAGCAACATAAAACTCATGACCATTTCTCCAATACAGATTAGGGAACAAAGCACAAAGAGGTTAAGGTTATGCTGTCTACAGTATCTGGAAAGTTCAGGTTTGTATTTTCCACCAAAGTCTGGGGCTTGCTTATTAAATGACTACAGCAGAGATTTAAAAGGTACAGTCAGCCAGGCATGGTGGTGCACGCCTTTAACCCCAGTACTCAGGAGGCAGTGGCAGGTGGTTCTCTGTGACTTCAAAGCCAGCCTGGTCTATATAGCAAGTTCCAAGTCAGCCATGTCTACACAAGGAGATCTTGTCTCAATATACATACATACATACATACATACATACATACACACACATGTATAATATATAT